CTAATATTATCAAATTAATCACAGAAACCCGTTTTGAATTCAGGACAGATTTCAGGTATCCTTTGGGGATTGAAGACTTTTTGATCGATGTTAAGCGATTTTTTAGTATACGCCATACAATCGACTTTTATTCCAAATCAAAAAACGTTCGATTTTTGATATTCATTGCACGAATCGAAAGGCGTTTGAGTTGGTATTTTCGTCCTTCAAGACAGAAAGTTCAAAAAGCTGACTTTAAAAAAGTTTTGACTCGCGCTGTGAAATTCAATCTCACAGCTGTCTGCGTCATTCTTGCTTAACAACACAAAAAAGAAGCTCAGCAAGACAATTCCAAATGAATGTAGGATGGGCACTGCATTCGGCTTTCTGGGTGAGGTCAATACAGTTACATGGTTCAATCGCTTTAAAACCGAGGTGGGAACCATTGAGGCGAAGTTTTCAGTGAATTTAAGTCATCTACTTTGGAAAGAAAAACGGAAATTGTGGGGCAGAATACTGCAAAACGGGCGAAAAAAGCGGGTGAAACGGGAATTTTTATGTAACACAATGCTCCTCAAATGAGTAAAAGTGGGGTAGGACTCATAATGACGGAACTGGTATGGAATGGGTATTTGGACGAGTTGTCAGTTGACGATTGAAGAGAGAGATGACACAGTAGGCCAAAAAGCCAGAAATATTCCTCCTTGGGCGCATTTATAGTAACGAAACCTGGACGCTGATGTCGGTGCTGGCCGTCAATCGATACCTTGCAAGCCAGTGACTCATGCTGTAGAATGCAGTTTATGAACGGATAAAAAGAGAAGATCTGTGTGTAAAGGTCGTTTCGCGGCTAGAAGTGACGAGATGAGGTTTACTATTGCCATGAAGGCAGCTATCCGCCATCAAAAACCATTTCCTCGAAGCTGAATGAGAAGACGTATGAATGCAGGTTCCGCCACCGTCTATAATCGCCCGTCTATCTCCCACATGAGCTCCCGACATCGACATTAGCGCCCCACCTCGAAGGTACCGACTGTCACCACGGGTACGACTAGTTGTTTGAATTTTTGAATTTTTTAGTTTTTTTCTCTGGGCTCCATTGTGAAGAGCCCTGACAAGTCCACCATACGGTCAACTTTGCGTGTGTAGGTCGGCCAGGGCAGTTTTGTAGCCCTCACTACTCCATGTCTCGATCATTTTTCAATTCGACAGAGCCCATGTGCTACGCATGAGGACCACACGTTCCCTGAGAGATTCTCAGGAGATATTATTATAGTGAAATGTCTCTTACAGGGCATTAAGTCAACTGGCACTGGGATATGTTCGATATGGTAGTAAATCAGGGGTTGCAAGGGTAAGCCGCTTACCCATGAACAGGAAGAACTAGAGCAGATGATTCTTTGAGGGTCAGCTTTAGGAAATGAATGAAGGCCTGTGGTTCATCGTTGGTGGAAAGGGGGGAAGGACGGTACTACTTGCCAAGCATTGGGATACTTTTGAGTTTCCATCGAAGCAGAACGTTTTGCTTAAGTATACAAGGGCTAGAAGAAGTGCAGCGTTGTGGCACAAATGCCATTCAACTGACGTATCAATCGATGCGATTTCATGCCACTCATAGATGAATCACCCAAGAAAAAGTTTTAAAAAAAACTTTTTATAACTTTCAAACTCACATGATTTCTGAGTGTTGCCGATTTTTCGGACCATTTGTGGCATTTCGGGGACAAAGGGCAAATGGGGGAAATCTGAAAACAAGGGTGTTGTTCGAATTTGTCAATCAAATGAAAGACAAAGGCAGAAGGAAGAAGAGGAAATGAAGGCTTCTGGGCAGAACACTATTGGAGGTTCCCCCCTGATACGCTTCTGAGCTAAGGGTGCTTCATGTAGCACATTAGGATTCAGAACTGATAGGCTGCTCGTTTCGATCTGAGGCCCTTCTCTTACGTCGGACAGTAATTAATTAAAAGATCCATGAAAGAAAAACAGAAAAGCTTGGGCCGCATTAAGTTTGCAATGCTGTTTGTTAGTCATAAAAACTTGAATGATTACGTACGGGGAAAAAGACTAAGAGAAAATGAAAGAGAGAGATGAAAATAGCTCCCTACTGACCGACACAATGAGGCTCAATCTCAGAAAACCAATCAAATTTTCGACAAATGCCAACAAAGACGAGAATTTCGAGCGAGAAAAGCTCCAGTCACCAGAGAGAGGAGCGAACGGAAGAATTCGGGACCACCAGCATTCGCTTTTTTCCCGAAGACAAGAGTATCAGTGACCTTTTCCCCAGCGACTAAGCCTCAGCGAGGCGCCGAGTCCTCCACTCTGATTACGATTATGAGGAAGGATTTGAGATTTTGAAAATCAGACTGGTGAAATACCTGGAGGAAATACCTGATGATAAAACACAAACCACAAAAGCGTCTTGGTATCAGAAAAGGCATAGGTGGATCCAGAAACTCCAGTTTTTGGGACTTAAGATAACATAAATAATTCAGGAACTATATTGAATGTCGTGGAATGGGAAATAGTAACATCATCTGACCACCATAACGGACCTAGCAAGGAAAGTCGTCCGAAAAATTCAGAAATCTGCCGTCCCCCACAGGCAACCCCTCCTCGAACACCATCTGCCTACAAATAAGGAAGCGGGTGCAATCGCCCATCATATAATTGCAATATGGTAAGAACAGCTGAGACAAAACCTTTCAGGGAAAGCGACAATACGTCGGAACTCATGGGAAAGGATGATTACCTCCCAGTTGACTTCTGAGTTACCCATCGAACCTGCTATTCACCTTAACAACCCCTCCATCAAGTGTTGTCGCTAACCAGAGAAGAATGATGAATACAGAGGCGATCAATGACTCAGAAGCACGATATGAATCCAGAAAATGTTGCTGATAGAAAAGAGAAAATGGCACGAGAATGTCTCACAATCAAAGGAGAACGGCTAGCGACAAACGAGACATTCGAAGCGGCGGATGATGACACGTCATGGACGATCAGTCGTCCGTTCGTCAATTCAAAGGAGAACAGCAGAATTTAGACGGAGCTGCCGGCTGAATGCACACCGATCGAACATCTGGCACCACGACTGTTTGTTGCCCTCGCCGAAGAAGTTCGCCTTAGCTAACTAACCCATTTTTAGCCACTTTCTGAGATGCTCGATACAATTTCCGATAGACCAACAGTTCAGTATTTATCAAAATTTTTGAAGAATGTACAGTAGAAAGGCAGATATGTCCAAAGGACTTCGGTTAGCATAGGCTTATCTCCAAGGCGTAGAAATTCTTGTCTAAATGGCCACGTGAGATTACTTGAAGGTAAAGCCCTACCATTTCAGGAGAAGGGATCCAAATGGGAACAATATTTCTTTGCCGTAGGGAAAAACATAAAGGAAAAAACAAAACTTTCGTTTAGAAGCTTCTCTACTAATTTCTAGCAGGAAAAAACGGTATGATCGGTAAATATGGGCGAGTAGGTTTTGGAAAGCAAAAAAGAGATTTTCTTTTTTTTCTCCCACTCCAATCCCCTCGGCACTGTTAAAGAATACCATAAAACACCATTTTACCATACCATTTTTCATGCTTCAGGCC